GATTGCCTTGGAAACAGCGTCAGCATGAATGTTCCAGTAAAGCCAATCGACAGCTGGTCAAGAGGAATCCTCTGTCGTCTTCTGGTGGAACCGACCTACGAATCTCTTTAAGCAACATTTTCACCTGAATCTCTTGTTGTTTATCTTTCTAGATCTATACTCCTCCACTGTTTACCTTACCTTCATCACTTTACGTACGTGCACTTATTTAAAGCACGTTATATCCTGTATGTCTGTATATATCTATTACTTAATGTTCCCATTATTATGCTGCCTTCTCAGAACCTGGCATATCAGCAGCCTTACTTTAGGGTTGGTAACTCCAGACCACCTGGGTCTACCTCAAAGTCCTCGTTGGGAAGCATTTATTTGTGTAGGGTTTATTCTCGTAAGCCTACTTATATAACGAAAAAAATTAATTTGGTCGAATGCCATAGCAAATACAACTTTGCTTTATTGACAATCCCACCACAGAATGTAATATGGGAAAATGCACGGCCTTCCTTGAAATTCACATCTGCCCCATGACACAAGTGCACCTGTGGCAATGTGGCTTAGCGGTTATCTTGTCGAAATTAAACGCTGCACTGTCATGGTTCGACTCCCGCTGGGGGTGCTGATGAGACCAGTTCAGGCGAGGTCGAAAGTGCAGTCCACTTCAGCCTGGATGAGACAAACTTTTGGAAAAGCAAGCCTATATGAACTTCAATGGGAACGTAAGGTCTGCTCATGTGATTGTAGGAAAGTTTAGCTACCAGTCCCCTTATGAACTTAAACAAAATAAGGTTAATATATCTCAGGTCCGTTCCACCAGAAGACTACAGTGGATTCCTCTTGACCAGCTGTCGATTGGCTTTACTGGAAGATACATGCTGAAGCTGTTTCCGAGGTAATCTCCTCCGATTCCGGTGAAAAGGTGCTGAGCTTTCATCCGTCACATGACTGACATTGTCACAACAAAATTCGTTAGCTTGAATTTTATTGTGACGATGTTACCTCGCTCTGATGATGTCCGTCAAATAACGGACGAAAACTTAGCACCTGTTCACCGGAATCGAATGAGATTGCTTCGGAAGCAGCGTCAGCATGAATGTTCCAGTAGAGCCAATCGACGGCTTGTCAAGAGCAATCCATCGTCGTATGTTGGGGTAACGGATCTTGGAATCTCTTCTCCCAACACTTTCACTCGAAATGGAAGTAAGCTCAACAAGTATGAGACAATAGATTCCTCGAAACCCAACCTTTCTTCGCAAATATATCTCATGTGAACGTTATACTGGTAGCGCGAATAATCTACTTATAAACAGAAAATAAGTGTTCATTTGTACTTCATGCTGCACACGTGAGTATTGTCAATGAGACTGGCATAAGAGTACCATTTTTGAAGCAAAGTTATGTGAAATTCAGTGGAAACGTAGTTTCTATTCATATCATTGTGAGAAGATTTATCAATCAGTTCTTTATCATGTCAACGAACTAGTGTGAATACATTCTGTATAGATGAGAAGCCCACTTCAAGAGCTTTACACTTTCATTACAAAATCCCCTTTTGATCGGCCTGTTGCTGGTATCATTCAGGCTGGTATCCCCTTAAATCGCTGCTTTCAGGGGACTGGAGATATGCTATTTTAAAATGATTT